CTTTTGTTTTTTTTCTACTATATGGTGAACCTCTAATATAATGTTAATAAATCGTTCAGTATCATAAACCCCTGTGAGTGCACAGCACTGTCAGAGCAAACCTGTCATTTCACCTGTTTAAGTCAGAGGTAGAATGAGCATAAAAGAGAAGGGATTGTATTCCTGGGGAGGAAGCTAAAAACACAGACGGCAAGTACAGTGCTTTCTCACACAAATGTGGTGTATTTGAGTCCTTTCGTGAGACTGACTTAGTGAGGAGCTTTTTGTCACCGTGTCCTTTCCCAAGTAGTAGTTTAGCAGTACAGTAATTGTCCAGAGCATGCTTTTGCAAAGCAAGCCAGAATAACAATGAACTGAAACTGTACTTTATACAGGAGAATCTCTTATCTAAACTATTGGGTGTGGGGTTAGTGTTCCAGTCGGAAAGGCCGATAATGGTAGAAAAAAAAATGACTCTCTTTATGCCATGTAATAGATATGGAAATGACCACAGATGACATATATTACTCCCATCCAGTCTTAGTAGAAGGTTGGCAAACAATGTAATGTAAATACTAACAGAAACCAATATTCCTGAATGCTTTTCTCTTTAGAACAGAGAAACTGATAGCTGCTGTAGTAAGAACTGCAAACCTTCCAGCAATTTTAGTGTCTCTAGAGATAGCAATTTGCTCTGAACATACAACCAAAACAGAAACAGTCATTGAAAAGCACTAGCAGTGGAAATTCTTTATTTTACTAACTTTTGGCAACAGTGCTATTGCATTTAGGAGTTCATAAAAATATCTTTAATGTTTGATCAATCCTTTGTAGAAATCAGCACGTGCCTGGTTGTTGCATTAAATACCTCTATGGGAATACTATTTTTTATTGTTGGTTAATAAAATAAAAACTATTGAGAACTTCAAGAAAACTCCAGTTTTGAAACTTTAAGCAATTAAAAAACTGCTGATATGGCAGAGAGAACAGGTGGTTTTTCACTTTAGATTGGAATTTTGTATCATCTTTCCCCTCAGGAAAAGTTAACCATGTTACTATTTTTCAGTGAAAGAAGGGTAGTCATTTTACCCCAGAGCAGAGGCAAGTCCATGGGGATTACTGTGGAGCAACTGATGTCCTGTTGGATCACATAACACCTGATCTCTCTGGTACTTTTCTGGCCTGTCCATACGCATTGAAATAGAGGTCCGAGATGCCTTTGCCTGTGAGAGTTAAATGTTCAAGACTATGCCATGCCATTATTCCTTGTGCTGCCAGGACAAACCCCATTCTTGGGCTGCCAGGTAACATTATTATGATCATGGAGGTAGCTGTAGTGGTGTATTTTGATAATGCAGACTGTCCACTGCAGCTGGGTTTGAGAGCTTCCCCAGTGTTCCTGCAAGACAGATTTGAAGAACTAGTGCCTTCAGATTCACTTACTGTTCTGCTCCTGGTGTGGTGTCTTGCCTTTACATCATGCTGAACTGTAGCTAGTGGAATTGCATGCTCCAGTTAACTTATGATCTCCATATGCTGTTTATGAGCTACAGATCTTGAAATATGTGTACGCAGATTATAATGTGGAGAAACTTAGCTCTTGAGTGTTACCTGGATGTTGGAAAATGTTGGTTCTGGATATGTTAAGTCTCTGCTTGCTGAGTGCCTGAGCAGAAATTACCTCTGTTACTTGACAGGTGCTTTTGATCCTAAACAAAGTATTAAAATGTCAGAAACTCTGGAACATGCTCATAGTGCATCTAATGGTGTGAATGCTGACATTCTCTCCTGTTTGAACTGAAGACAAAGAAATACATGAGGAAGGGAAGAATTTTGGATCTGAGAAACTCTTAAACTGGGTTTGAAAGTCTCTGCATTTCCACATCCTGTTCTCTCATGTTCAGAGAATGTCTGTCTATAAGGAAGCTGTGAATGTTGTCAGGTTGTACCTTGGAAGAGGAACTTTGAGGCCAGGAGATAGACACTATGCACAGGCTTCTTTTCAGTGTGCTTGACACTTTGCTGTTTGTCTAGATTGCTGTTTTTTTATTGGTACATAAAATCTCTGTTTGGCTTACTTTGATTTGTGTGAAGGGTGATTTCCACATGATCAGCAAATACTTGGTAAATTCCAAGGAAGCAGAAAGATGATGAGGCAAGTGTTTGAGCACAGAGGGTCCTGTTGAATTTTGCTGTGGGATTATTAACTGATTAAAACCAAATTAAAGTAGCAGAAGCGATTGACTTGAATATGTGCTATAACTGAGAGTCAACTTCTGTTCTTCATCAATATTTCCCCTCCCCACATTGGATGCTGCAGTTCCTTCAGCAGAAACATCAAGTAAAAATCAGTAATGGCAAGAGTGTGTTTGAGGCATTTTCTTTCAGTTCATTTCACAGTTATTAAAGCAGCAGAGTAGGAAATCTAATTGACTGAAGGTTTCAGGTACACTCGAGCTTTGTTCTGTTATGAGAATTATGTATTTGCTTCTTTTTAAAAGTAAAGGGGTAACTGACTTGCTCATTAGACTTATTAATTGCACTGCTAAGGGCAACTGATAATGTTACTTCTGACTGCTTTCAAAACTTGGTGCTTTGTATTTATTTGAAAGTAAATTACCGTATTTGTACCCATAAATACACAGTATTATGCTGATTCTCTCCTTGATTAGTGTTTTATAAGATCATTTTCTAACTGGGCAGTGTCCTGGAGAGGACTGTAGTAACTGATGTAGATTTGTAAAGTTAAAATCTAATGTGTCTTTTAATTTGCCAGTTAAATTGATGCAGTCCAAACAGACTTTTACATTCATGTGTGCGGAGTAAGCAGATTGAACTGTTTATAGTCCTGTTGTTTGTATTGGTTATTTGTGATCAGCTGAGGTAATTTTTTCTGTGAATGTTAATGAGTGATCCCTTTTACATACATAGTGGATTATTTACTTTTTTTATGTGGTATGTGTGCAATGTATTTGGTTTTTAACTGTAAACATTTTAATTCAGATTCTGAATAGAAACCACAGCATAATGCAGATAGAGAACTTCCTGTATCTCATGGAGAAAAGCTGTTATATTCAGAGTGGTAGTATAAAGTCTAATAGCTGTTGTTTTGTTTTGCCTTATTTTAAAAAAAAACAAAACCAAAACATGCTATTTTATATAAAGCCAACATGGAAGCAACTGAGGCACATTATGGTGGGAATAATTTTTCCTTCTTTGTGCAAAGTACATGATGTCTATGAATGTCACTCATGTGGACAAGCTTAATAGTTTTTTGATTCAGAGTGAGTTTATTACTCCTGGCAAGAAAGAAATTGATTGCCAGTAGATGTGGTTTTGGTTTGAAGATAATTGAAGTTGGATTGTGGCAAATCCTTCGTATTAATAGGAACAATTTGTTGTGACAAGAACTCCCCCAGTTAGCTGACAATTTATAACTGAAAAAGGACAGGGACTGACTTAAAACTCAAGAATTTAAACACATTAAGTTAATGTAATTAAAAGAAAGGAGCTGCATTTGGCCCTCCTCATTTTACTTATGTAAAAGACATTTGCATGTTGCTTTTTGCTCATTAGAGCATGCTGTATGCTAATCAGGCACTGCAGATATTATTCTGTCTATATTTTTAAAGTAGTAACACTGAGTTCAGCAAAACTTAAGTAACTTCCCAGGGTTTCTTTCTCTGTTAAATGATCTTAAGGCAATGTTGAGTCTTTCTATGTTGTTTGGGGAAATGTAAAGGGAAAAAAAAATCAGTTTTGCATTTCTAATTTAGCTAGTTTGAGAAATATGTATGTCAGCTCTTAATTAAATTACTTATTTGTGAGTTTATACAATCACCTTAACCTCTCTTCCTGGGAAATCTTTGTTGAAATAGTGTTTTGATAGAGAGGGAATGTTAATACTTGGTAGAACTTCATCTAGTGTTGCTTTCATATTTCTGCTCCTACAGCTTGTCTGCTTCTCTGATCTGTTTTATGTAGTGACAGCATGCATCTTTAAATAGTAGTATCAGAGGAAAAATGGAAATGTTTGGTGTGGAATATACACAGAAATGCAAATCTGAAATAAAAGAGGAAGTGTACTTTCAAATTTGGCTGAACAGTATTTTCCAGCAATTTATCCGATCGTTTGGGAAAACCTGTTGCATTTATTTTGATGCATTTAATTGTTTCCAGACATTTATAGCGTATTAGTGGAATTTTAAGAAATGGAAAGGCACCATGCACAGTCTGTCTTTGTGTTTTGTACATAAAACTTGTCAGAAAACATAGTTTTGAAAGGCAAAGCCTCCATGTTCTATTTTCAGTTTGGCTTGATTTCATTAGAGAACATGACCTTAGTGGTTTATGCAGGGAAGCATTTCTGAACGATGGAGGAGAGAATTTCTGATGCCTCACAGCAGTTTGTGTTGTCCTCAGTGTGCTGCACAGCTCTCAGTGCCTGGTGGTCACCCAGGCAGTCTGTGTGGCCCCAACCTGTGTCCCTGCAGGGCCAGGTCCTGCTCAGGCTGTGAGAAAGGGAGAGGAGGATGTTCTCTCTTGGTCTGTCGTCCTTATGGGGAGGAACTGTTACCGTGGAATGTGTGGCATGTTGGGAAGAACAGAGAGTATTTTTAGTAAGATACCTTTGTGGTACCACTCTGGATTAATTTGAATAGGGTATGTGGGAGTCAAGATCTATGGGAAAATGGGTTTAAGTTTTATATTCATAGTTTGAAGCTGTACAGAGACTATGTAACAGTGTTTATGCTTACTGGTGATTTTTCTTTGCATTCATAGGGCTTGGAAGTAATGCAGTAAGAATCATGATTTCTAAAAATTCTGAATATAACCCTTCCTGGGGAATTCTGGAAAAGAATTCCAGCAGCTGCAAAGATTTCACTTCTGCATTAGCTCTGCTTACTGAAAGCAGTACAAAACCATTTTTTGCTCTGAGATTATACCTTTTTATTTATCTACTATATTATTTCTTTCCAGATATTGATGTATGAAATAGCATCTAAACTACTTATTTTCTTCTCTTCCAGGCTGCTGAATCCGGAATAATAAAAGTGAAAACAATAGCTGCACAGAACACTGATATTTTGGCAGGTAATGATTTGCAGTGCAGTGGGAAAAAATAAAACTGAGTTACAGATCAAGATGTTAAAAAGATGTCTTGAATATGTCTTAATAATACTACATGTCTTTTAGCATGTGCTGTATCAGTGATGCTTTACTTTTGGGCACCTAGCAAAAAATCCAGTAGCCTAAAAGTCTTTTAATACTACTTGTGTTTCATGTTAGGTGCTGAGGAATGGCTCCATTTTAGTTGATGCTCTACAAAAGCAATCATCCACTTAGAAAAATAACATGAAAGACTTGGAAATCTCAGTGTTTTAATCCCTGTCTGTGTTCACCACAGCTGTTGTTGAGTGCTCTGCGTGGAGTTCTGCAGTATGATCCTCCTCAGTGTATTTAGTAGGAGAGTCCAGCCTTTGGGGACTTGTGCATAGCAGGCAAAAATCCATCTTAATCTGGACAAGGTCATTAATTTTAAAAATGTACCAATGCCGTGAGGGACAGGAGTATCTTGTGAGTTGCAGTTTTGTAAGTGCTTAAAACAGTATATCAGACTGTCTTGAGCTTTATAAAATAGTATGTAAATTGGTGGTTTCTTGCCAGTTGCTGGTAAAGACTTTGGCCATATTTGAATGTCCCTGCATTAATATTTGTGTGTCTACCCCAGCTGTAGTCAAAATCCTTGAAATGCTAGGTTATGTGGAAGGTCTGATGAAATAGATGTAAAATCATAGCTTGTTTTGAGGTGTGTAAACCAGATATTGTTAAGGAGGCATTTCCTAGAATTACTTGAAGTAACAGTCCCACTCTTCAATATTTCACTTTAATGCCTCTTTTTTATTTGTTTATTTTCTTTGTTTTTACTGCTGTCATGAATGCTGACATAAGTGGGAAAACTATGCCAGGTAATGTCAGCTATGTCGAAATACACAAATGAACTAGGGAAAACTCTAGTTAGACATTTGGGAAGCTGTCAACATTCTTTGGCATATTACTGTGTAAAGAAGTTCATATTTTTGAACGCTAGCTTGTATTTCTGCAAAATTGTTTGGTTTTTAATTTTCACTTCAAAGTGAAGGGACGTGAAAAGTCCTTAAATTTGGGCATGAATTGGCAGACTCCTTGATTTTTGAGGGAACACGTTTTGGTAGTTGGTGAGTATTTCACATACTTCTTCTTTGGAAAGTTTAAACTAGAATGTACTTGGTATTTGTTTCCTTAATCAAGAAATTGCGCAGATTTGTTGTTAGGAGGTTTGGAAAACCAGCAGGTCCTAAAAGTTATTTTGATTAATTAATCTTTGCTAATGGAATAATAACATTTTCCCCCCCTCTGTTCTGCAGTTTTATACTAGGAAAAGGTACTTTGCCTGCACATTGTCCTAACATTCCACAGTTTAATCACAATGTCATTAAATAGTCTCAGTTCTTTATGGACTCTTGTATTTTTTGAGGTATCAGTAGTAACCTAATCTTATAGATAAGTTAATGTCAAGATACTGTCACCTATCTGCTATTTATAATTTCTTGAAGGAAGGTAGCATGTATACTTGAGTAGTAATAAAGCTGCAAAAAGCTACTGTAATTGTGAAATCTAGTGAAGTAGATACTTTTTGGCTGCTAGCTGATTTAGGAATATATACTAGACATTCTAGTAATACAAATAAATATTTTGATCAGGATATGGTTTTTTAATTATTTGATGTAAACTGTCATTTCACTAAAATAGATAAGAACAACTGTATCAGATTGTTTTGAATACAGTGGCCTGATGCTTTCTTGAAGCATTACATTGTGCAGGATTATCATTTTTAGGAAAATAGATGCAGTCTTAAAATATTTACTAAAATCTTAAAGATCTTTATTATGTCTGGCAGGATGTGTTTAGCCTGCCAGAACTCTGAGGTCATTGATCTAACATCTTTCTCTTGGAAAAGATGAGCAGTTTCAGTGTCTTCATTCTTGGCAGTCTGTACATAAATTTGAGTAGTTCCAAGGGAGGAAAAAGCTTGTGCTTTATATCACAGGAGATCTGAGAAATTATTTCCACATGGCTCTGAGATGTGCAATTCATACTTGTGTTCTAGAAGTTCTTTAAAAAGATTAGAATTATAATCTTGCTGATGGAACGAAAGAGTAAGTTTTACTTTCCCAAAACTTTTTTTGTTATGGTTCATTAAGACAGGTTTCTTTTTTAATATACTCTGTCATAAATTGGTAGCAAAATGGAAGCAGACCTGGATATAATAAAATTTTTGTGTGTTTTAAGACTGAAGCTAATGCGGTCACAGGATCAAAGAATCATGGGCTATTCTGAGTTGGAGGGGACACAGTAGGATCATCAGACTCTGACTCAGATTGATACCAAACCAGAACTACAAAACATTATTTTTTCACCTTCATAAAGTCAAGATACTTGTAGAGATTCTGTTGTGAAATTATATAGAAAAGCATACTATAAAAAGTTTAAATTTTTCTTTGTCTTTTTATTATTAACTCATGCAATTTTTGCCATTCAGAACTATATCTTCAGTCTCATGTTAAAAATAATGTTTCGTAGTATCTTTTGAAAAAAGTTGCATGCCTTTTTCTGCTTGACTGCTAGAATTTAGTGTTAGTTCAGAAATTTATGAGTGAAGACACATTTGTGCCCATGTTAGAGCTCTCTAGGCTCTGTTGGCCATGTGTTGCAGGTGTTCATAGTCTATAAAGGCAGTTTAAGACACGTTGCTTACATGCAGACACTGGCAATTAGATGGCTAAATTACATGTCTTAATCAGGAACAAATGATGTTGTATCCATGAAGTATCAATGTCATTGCTTTTTATTTCTTTGAAGATCATGGAGTGTTTCAGAAAGGAATGGTATGGGAGGGTAGGGTTTATTGTGTATTTTAAATGCAGGTTTATTTGCTTCATAGTTAAGTTAACCTGTTGAAATCAAAACAGATTGTTATACAGACAGTGAACCTGTGTGTTCATTCACATTTATGCTGACCTTTTCATTGGTTTTGATTAGGCATTTGCTGTAAGATCAGCCTCTGTCAGCTGGACATTGAGCCTGTGCTGGCTCTGAAGAGGCTGACAACACTGGACAGTGTGTGTGTTGATATCACCCTGTAAGAACGATTACCTTATCAAAAGTTGGCATTTATAATTTATACTGGCCTGTTCTAACTTCTGAGTCATGTTGGTTAGTGCTTCATTTGGAAAATACTACTAAAGTATATTATTGTAGTGTTTACCTTGATGTTTTATTGTTTTTTCCCAAAATTAGTTGTAGTGATACTTAATAATAAGCCAAACTTCAAATTGCTCAATAAAAAAGATCATGTTTGAATTGTTATGTGAGAATGTATATTTTGTTTGTTTGTAGTAAGCTCTGTGCTCTGAAAAGTGTGTGAAGCTTTTCATTAACACATTTCTTCTATTACACATAGACTAAAACACTGTGTATGACATTCTTTGTAAGAACACACATTGAACTTTCAGCTGTGAGGAAATTTTTAGTGTCTGAAACAGTGATGAGCAGCTAAAGACTTAAAAGTTTGCATGAATCAACAGCCGTGCTTGCAAACAGAAAAGCACTCATCAGTCATGCTTTCCTTTCTTATTTTTCATATTTTAATAGCTTTTTGTTAAGATTATATCAGCTATCTCAAATTACTTCTATGGGGAAAACTTTTTTAAAATGTCAGTGTAGAATGTTATATTTATTGTAAAGCTTTTTCTCCTAAATAAAAAAAAAAAAAAAAAAAAAGGTGGGGAGAGAGAAGTTCATGAAACAGGTGTTTTTTCCTGACAAAACTTCATTTTAAGAAGCTACCCTTTGTCACTAAAACACTAATTAACAAATTCACAGCCAGGTGAGCGTACACATGATATCAGCACTCCAGTCTCTTTCTCCTGCTGTTTTGTCAGCGACAGTTCTCTCTTCCCCTTCATGCCATGTGCTTTGGTATGTCGTTCTGTGCCACACTGTGTTGCTTTTGCTTTAGGTGCTGAGGTGAAGCAGAGCAGGAGAAAGCTGTCAGCCTGAATCTGGTTCCTGCAGTAAGGCCAGAGAGAGCTCTGGGGTTGGCTGAACCTTACAGCTTCTTGCTAACCAAATGGACTCTAAGTGGATGTTCTGGATTTGGAAAGACAAAGTCCCATGAGAGTATAAGGGAGAAGGTGCTTGGGATTTCAGCCTCAGCCAGTGTCACTGTGGAAGTGAGCTGTGTCTGCTCAGTGGTTATCTTCATTTAGCTTTTCCCTGCGGGGCAAGTGTAAATCCCGAATTTCTAAGGCTGGAGATTGCTCTTTGTTAATATGTGCGATTAACAAATTTTGCATTGTATTCTTCAATGAATTAAACATTGACTGCTCCCATATCTCTCTTTGAAAGCATTGAAAGAGAACAGCTCTGAGGTAGTTCAGCCTTTTCTGATGGGTTGTGGAACAAAGGAACCAAAGATTACTCAGTTGTGTCTAGCAGCTATACAGAGGCTTATGTCCCATGAAGTTGTTTCAGAGGTAAGATCCATCTTTTTATAAAACCAGAAATATTTCAGGGTGAGAAACACAGGCCTCCGACTGAAAGCAAATTTTGTTGGGGGGGAGTCTGTTTACGTTACAATGAACATAGTCTGCAAAACATTTTACTCATAACTGTTCTGCAGTAATATAAAGAAAACCTTTTAGACCATTAAAAAAAAAAGTGAGGAAACATCAGAACATCAGTAACTTCTGGAAGGAAATCAATGAAAATTGAAAGCAGCTCATTTAGTTTACATTCTTGCATTGCAGGAGCAGAACATGTAATGCTTCTTGATAAATACAGTTCTTAAAGTTGCATCCCCAAAATATACTGTGTAATAATTACGGTTTTGTTACAATTTACTTTTAAAAATAAGATAAAATGGATGCACATTTTCTGCAGCTGTAAATGTCATGATATATTATGATGTTGCTTATATAGTGTGTTAAGAAGTCAAAATACACCTTCAGTTGTGCTTGCATGTTGTAAAATTACACTGGTTTTCCTCCGATAGGAATGAATTTTATACTGTGTCTTCTATATTTCCAAGTAGAAAATGAAGTACACACTTTAATTTGGACTATATATTAAGAGATTTCTGCTGTCAATTCTTTAAAAATACTTTGGGAAGCTTGTGACAATGAAATTGGCTTTATATTCTCAACGTAGTGCTATGGTGTAGATGAACAGCCACATTCAGTTATGGCATGCCTTTAATGACAGTGATACTCTTACCTGTGTACACATGATATACCAGTATGTAAACATCTTAATTCTTGGCAAAAAATCATTTCTTTGTAGGCTGCAGCAGGAAACATTATTAATATGCTTTGGCAACTGATGGAGAATAGTCTTGAAGAACTTAAATTGCTCCAGACAGTTCTTGTACTTTTAACAACCAACACAGTTGTGCATGATGAAGCACTGTCCAAGGTAAGGATTTGTTAGTACCAGCTATAGTGCTTACATTATCCAAGAGGAAAAGCAGGGAGAAAATGTACATATGAAGCATATGAAAATAATGGAAGGGGGGGGCCTTTCTTGATTCTGTTGTGTCCTTATTGTCTTTATGGCTAGACATGGAGAGCAGGATTTCTTCTAGCTTCCTTTTCTATCTGTTTTATAGTTCCTTTGCAATAATACATTTCTGACTTTATGGGAACTTGAAATATAAACACTGGGCTAATGCTTGAACTGCTCTAATAGAAAAATATTAAAAGAAGATGCTTTTCCCCTGCCTTAAATCTCTTTTGAAAGCAGACCAGTTATTGCTCTTTCAGTCATAACTGAATAACTTTACTGCATAATTTTAAACGTGAACCATTTTCTATATTACATTTCAATTAAAAAAGTAAATATTCTGATCCATTTTAATCTTAAATTATAAGATACTACTCTTGAAAGAAACAGCATTGTTTACCCATCTGTGAATTGATGCTCTGCTTAAAGTAAATTCCTCTTCTAGATTACATTCTAGAAAGTCAGTTTGAGCAAGACATATATTGCATATTCATGTTTCAGCTTGACTGATTTAAATTAAGAAAATTGGAGGTAAACCATCTTGAAAAGCCCCTTACTACAGGCACTACTGTAAGATTAACCTAGAGAATCATGCAGTATCTTCTAAAAGTTCAGAGGTGTACAATTGAGCTGTAGGATTTCAAACTAACATGTGAGTACAGTCTGAGCAGAGTCCACAAATCTCTGAAAAAGAAGCATAAGAGAATTCTGAATCTTGCATGGCTTGGAGCATGTAGTGCTATGGTTGGGTGTGGTAGAAGTTCTTGCAAGTTCAAGAACACAGAATAAGGACAAAAGAACAAGAAATGCAGGTTTCAACACACGGACAGATGGTAATTTTCAAAATTCATTGTAACATAAGTAACTATTAAACTATGAGTTAGAGGTAATAATGAAATCCAATGGGAAGCAGTATTGTGGCCACTGCTAGCACAGTAACACATTAAAATGTGCACCTTGAAGAGGAATAATAGCTGTTGTGGCAACACCATTGTCAAAGTATTGTGATTTAATGTGGGAGATGAATGGAATGTTAGCTTTGGAGTTGACTGACCTTTCTGTGATTAACCTTATAGTCCTAATGTCCTTTTTATGTTAATATTTGTACAAGTTGTTCCATGTGATGATTACTGTGTATTCTTTGTGCGATGACATGTACTGGTGCATCATCATGTTTTCAGTTAATACCATTTTTAGATTACCTTTAGGGATAATTACAAAAGGGATTTTTGTCTAGTGTCATCCATAAAACTTATTTTGGTTCTTCAAATTTAAAACTATTGAAATTATTTTTTTTCAAGCAATCTTTTGACAAACTAGCGAAAACCATAATTCCTCAGTCAGTCAGCCTCTTTGACTCTTGGCTAAAAGATGAAATGTCTTGTTGTAAGGTGGTTTTGTTTCTATTTTTTTTCCTTTCAGGCGATTGTACTTTGTTTCCGCTTGCACTTCACAAAGGACAATATCACAAATAACACCGCGGCAGCCACGGTGCGGCAGGTGGTCACTGTTGTGTTCGAGAGAGTCGTCGCTGAGGATGAGAGATACAAAGGTTGGGCATACTGCTCACTCAGCTTGCTTTTGTTGACCTGCTTTTTGGATACCCATCAAATGTCTCTTTTTCACATGAAGTAGTAAAATGTCTGTCCGTGTTATTAAAAAAAATCACAGACATCGTTAATTTTTACTGGTTTTTTTTTAATACATTTACTTGTATTTAAAGGAGATTAAGTCCTGAGCCATTGTGTCAGTTCAAGGTAGTACAGCAATATATAAAACCTGGATTTTTTTTTTTTTTTTTGAGCTGTAAGAACTGGTTTTCATGTTAGCACTGTGTAGGAGCACAAAGTGAGGGTGTCGAAGATGAAGGTAACTTAGATTACGTAGTGTGAAATACATGGCACTAGTGGTTTTGAAGAGAACATGTGCTGGAAAGAAGTGCTTGGTATTGATAATCTTTGGTAGTCAAGCTAATGTTTGTTACTGTAGACACACTAAGTTGCAGAAGAATTACCTGGCCATTCTAGAATCTTTTTGTAAGAACACTTCATGTGTACTTGATTTTCAACAGTCCCTCTCTTCAAAAAACCTTGGTTTGTTTTTCACACAGATAATATCGACCAGCCAGTTGCAGTTCAAGGAAATAGTAACAGAAGATCTGTCAGCACACTGAAGCCATGTGCTAAGGATGCATACATGCTTTTTCAGGTAGTTGGGGAGCATATACTTAGATATTTGCAGTTATGATTGGGTGCTTCTACATCTCTGTAAGAAATTTAAAAAAATCTGCCATTGGCATGTTGACAAGGTCCTTTACCAGGGCCTCAGGCTTTCTTATGCATATTCATTGTAATTGGTGATGATATGCTGTATCACAGGAGGATGACTGGAAAATGAAGACAAAGTAGCCTTGGAAGATGTTTCACTAAAATTCTTGAATAATAGCTAAGCATGCATGTCTGCATTAGATTCAAGATTCTTATTTCTGGGAGCCAAACACTGTTGCTATAGTTCAGTCCTGTTTCTTGTGCTTGGTATTGTACATTAAGGGCAAGCTATAATGAGAAGTAGTAGTTGTATTCATCACACCAATAAAAATCTAACTGCCTCAGCAAATTCACTGCTCTTGAGATATTTTTGAGCACAGGAACGAACAGAATTGCTACAAGGATACCAGCAAAGTTTAAAATTTCTTTCTAAAGTTTGCTTAGTAATTTATGTAAAAGAAGTATTTGAGGAGAAATTAGGTTGAAATTGAGAAGTAACTCGTTACAAATGAGAGACAGCATGTAAATATTTGGAAAGCTTATGCTGTGCAGAGTATGTAAATATTACTGTGTTTCTTTTTAAGGATCTGTGTCAGTTAGTTAATGCTGATGCTCCCTACTGGCTCGTTGGTATGACAGAAATGACCCGAACATTTGGACTTGAACTTCTTGAGTCAGTCCTCAATGACTTTCCACAAGTATTTTTACAAGTGAGTAGTTCTTGGAGGAAAAATAGGAAGACTTCTGTTCACATAGGTAGTAAAACTTAACTTCATTAACTCCTCTTTAATTTAGCATGAATTCTATTTTCCAGAAGGACTTGTAGCTGTTACTTTTTTTTTTAGTAGAAAGGTTCTCTGTATTTATTGCCCATGTTTTTCTATTCCCAAACATTTTATTTGTGTTTGTGCATTTTGTAAAGCATGTTTCACTTTTTGTTTTGCTATTTATATCTCCTGCAAAGATGCATTTTCTTATCGTGCCTGATTTATGACAGCTCTGTAACTTAGTTTGTGGCATTGTTATTTCTATGAAAACATAAGCCTCACCCTACTTGTACAGCAGCAAGAACCATGACTGTGAATTGCATGTATCTAGTGCATATAAATGCACCATGATTCTACAATAACAAGTTTTAGCTGCCAGCAGCTAAATTTAAAAATTAAATATATAAGAAATGATGTATTAGCAGCCTATTTCAACTTGCAGAATACTAGTGGAGGGATACATGGTATGAAGCTGATCGTTGTCATTTCATCATGTTTTTTTGGTAGCTTTATAATGGTGTCTGTACTTCTTCCTTTTCATTTCTTGAGTGTGTAATTCACACCAAGATTTGCATGACTTCAGACTTGCTTGATCGTAGCAATAAATGTAAATAAGATGCACAGTCAGAGCTACTCATAGCAATTAAAGAATATCTGCTTATACCTTGTTCTGTTTTCTTTTTCAGCATCAGGAGTTTAGTTTTCTTCTTAAAGAAAGGGTATGCCCTCTTGTTATAAAGCTTTTCTCCCCAAATATCAAATTCAGGCAAGGTTCCAGCACATCATCTTCCCCAGCACCAGTGGAAAAACCATACTTCCCCATCTGTATGCGTTTGCTGAGAGTAGTTTCTGTTTTGATTAAACAGTTTTACAGTTTGCTGGTAAGAATATGTTCAAATTTTCTTTATGCAATTTTGTTTATATATATATATACACACACACACCAATACGGCAATCAGTAGTAGTATTGATTACTTCTTGGAACTGTTGAAAGTGGAAGAAAAGTCTAAATATTCTTTTCCTCTCACGTGTATTTGTGTTTATGTGAAATATATAGAAAATGTATATATTTTGTTCAACATAGACTTGTATGGATTTCATAGTAGATTATCTGTTGTCTTTTTGGGACTTAACTCCCTTTCATTTAAGGTTTTAGGAACGTTTTGATCTTATGTTGTTTGTCTGGCTTTAGATAATGATAACTTCTGTGCCTTTTTAGTGCTTTCTAAGAGGCTTTTGACTTATGTTGCTAAAGCTGTTGACAGAATGTGTGTAGAAAAACACTTATTCACCTGTTCTTACATCCTGAATTTTAGATACTTGCTAAAAAAGATATTTTTCTGTTTCATTTACTGTAACAAATGTTTTATTGCGGTGTCTGAGGAATTTAACTCTTTCAATTCAATTGCATGTGTTTTAGCTTGTGAAAAATATTATGATTATTGGGTCATAATAATTATTATTTTATATAATTTTGAGTAAATGCTTGTTCAAGAGATTTTTTTAGACCCTGTACAAAACTTGCTGTGATAAGACTTGTATGATGAAAGTGAATTCTTTTTAAGAAAATATCTTCTAGGAGGCTTTTTCTTATAATTTATTTACTAGAAAGTATATCTTTCAGGTAACAGAATGTGAAATCTTTCTGTCATTGCTGGTTAAGTTTCTGGATGCAGACAAGCCACAGTGGCTAAGAGCTGTTGCAGTAGAATCTATTCACAGACTTTGTGTGCAGCCTCAGCTATTAAGGTACTACATATACTGAGTTTCACTTTTACATAAAATGTAAGAAATACTTTTTTCTCTGATGGAAAGTGCTTCCTCAAACATTGTAAATATGTAGAAACTTAAATATAATAAGCTCTTCATGATAATTTTTTATAATGCATTGGGCAATGCTTATTATCCAGGAAGGACTGAATTACAGTTATTTCAATATTTCAGACCCTTTTTGCAAACTTACCAGTATCAAAGAAGCATTTGCCTAAAGTTATTATTGTTTACCTAAGTGTTTGCTGTTAAAACATGCATTTAGTCTACGGTTTGGGAAGGGGGGGAAGTTGCTGTTAAAATACACCTTTAGTCCCCAACTTGTCAAATGCATCCTGTTCTGTAAAATCCTTTCCAGGTCCTTTTGCCAGTCATATGATATGAAGCAACATTCCACTAAAGTTTTCCGTGATATTGTGAATGCACTGGGGTCCTTCATCCAGTCACTGTTTCTTGTACCAAGCACAGGAAACGCATCAGCAACACCAAACCAAACTGGTAAAGCCTTGTTCTTACTATCTTTTTTTTTCCCCCCAGCATTTTTTTGTAATAATAAATTCTGATGACAGTTACACTGAGGTATTAGGTGCTGTGAGTATCCTTCATGGGGACTCTGCCCTCTCTTTCTGTTGTCTGTACAGAGAGAATCTGAACATGTGGGACCTCCTCCTAGGAAGTATAGACCTCCTTCTGTATGTAGGAAGTGTATATATATAGAATTCCTTGTCCTTTTATCTGCTTTTTTTGGCTTCTTCAGTTGGAACCAAAATTTCTTCCTTCCTAGGTGTTGGTTGGCACATTGTCAGCTCTTCCTGACATGGTTTGTTTTATTCTACATTGGCATGGAACAGATTGAAGTGTTGCTGTTCTGTTCGAGTCTCTTCCTGAGACTCTTGCATTTCTGAAATCTTAAAAGTTTGTTCTTGGAATAATAAGCCTCTCTGACTACTGAGTTCTAGATGCAGGTATTCAAATAATCCTTAGCTTTTAAATATCTGTCTCACTCTTCACTAAAATGTATGTTGTTTTATCGAGACTGTGTAAGTTTGATTTGTTCACAAAATGTTCTGAATGTTGCTGTGCCTTTCACAGATACATTTTCTTCTGACTGAAAACTAGGCAGTTGGCATCAATCAACTGCACATAAGATCATGTTTTGGACAGCAGGGGGAACTCTAGAATAGTTTATGTGTAGTTTTTATCACTGAATAGGGTGTTTTCACATTAATCCTGGTGTCTCAAAAATTAAATGTAGGAAAAGGATGTCTGCTGATCACTACAATTAGTTTGGTTCATTATATCACTTTGTTTTTCTGAACAGGAAGCAATGCATCAGGGAATACTGGCTCAGCACAAACTACTCCAGGAGTGCTTGGAATGGGAGGGGGTGCAACTGTGTTACCTGCCTTTGAGTACAGAGGCACTTGGATACCCATCCTGAATGTAACAGTACAAGGCAGTGCTAAAGCTACCTAGTAAGTACCTCTATGTATTTGAAAACATATATAGCAAATATTTTTGTTTCCAACTTGATGATTTAAGTTTTTCACTAGGGAATATTGAGGTCTTCGTTCAGTGTCATTGAGGCATATTAATTATTTTCTTTTTGTTGGTCCCATGAGATGTTCTGTCTTTTTGCTGTTTTGTCTGAATCCTTTGGATTCTTATTCAAATGTCCCCTATGGCTTTAGCATCTGTTGTAGTTGTTGTCAACCACACTATTGCTGTATTAACTCTTCACTTTTAGGCCTCACTGTAGTATATAACAATTCTGGAATATCTGTTGCTGCAGTGTGTAATGGCAGACATTAGGGGCATTAAGCAAATGGGAAATCAGTGGGAGTGAAAAATAGCTTTCTTGTACTAGTTTTCCTGTATTTACAGTTGTTATTGAACAGGATATTTTGGTGGGTATTGGCAATGTTGTCATTCCAAACAATATATTGACTTATAAACCAAGGTTAGACTCTGAATGCTTCTTTGAATGACCAGTTATTTTGTCATGGCTTTGTATGATGGAAATGGTGTTCTCAGTTTAAAGCTGTGAATAGTGTGTTAGTTTTGAAACAGTGGAAGCTTTTTCATGTCAACCATTGAGAATCAGTCTCTCCCAAACTGGAAATTAGGAGTACAACCATGACATTCAGTGAAATCTGCAAATAGCCTGACTCTAAGGTGGGTTTTATTAAGGCAGAAACTCCTTCATCTACCTTTGGGATGCAGGAGGAAAAATTAATCCTTAGATTTCAGTAGTTAGCATGTTGCATGCTAGTTACATGTTAGTATGTATTGACTTGACTTTTTGTTCCAGCAGTGGCCATGAATGTTATTTTAGGTTGCCTGACAAAAGTGGATGAAAGCTACTTTGTGCTGTAAGCAGCTACTACAACCTCCTTGTTTTTGTCCTTTTTTTCTTACTTTATTCTGTTCTTAACTGGCTCAAGAACCTTGCAGTCACCATCATAATCTCCTGTCTCGCTCTAAACTTGCTTGTGTTTCACGTGGATCCTTTGGGTGACTCCATGATTCCCTCTGCATAGTTTTTGCATTTTTTTTCTTCTGTATCAGATTACAGACTTGTTGCAACCATGTCTGGTCAGCAGTTTTTCTCCTGTCTTGTACTTTTGCCTGTAGTCCCCGAATATAAGGAGATGACTTGCTGTAACTGTAGATTAGGTCACATACTAGCACTGGTTCTCTTCTGCTGCCATTAGATTTTCATAAAATGGCCACATTTTATACTTTTACACAACAATTTAATTGTGAATTATGAACACAGGTGGCAGAACGTTTTTGTTACTGTGGGCCTGTCTTTTCCCAGACTTTGTCTTCCTCCTTACATGAGGAAGTAAGTGTTTTTAAGAGGAATAGACAGACTATTCCAGATTTTTCATTGCCACTCCCATGCAAACTGCAGCAACTCATGTAATTTATTCAGTAGGTTTTTTTCCTGTTTTTGTAGCTATAAAACCTGTTAATAATTTTAATTAGACCTGTATATATATTCACACTTATTTGTAGATAGAGAGTGAAATGTTGACCATTTGATTTACCTGTGCCCCCAGATATCTAAGGCAGCTATCTTCAGGAAATTAGAGATAATTGAAATGTTACATATGTGGGAGAAGAAAGATTTCCTCTGTGCAGAAAAGAGTGGTGACAGTGCAGTAGAGAAGTGTCTATGGTATATTTTAGCTGGAATGCCTAGCTGTTTTAAGAGTACTTTGTAGAGTATATAATGGAACAGTGTTTGTTGGTGTAGCAGGTAGTTTTTGTAACAGGCTGTCTCTGCTTGTATAGATGCTGCTGCTGTGTCAGCTGCAGTCTGTTGCCTGTTGGATTTGTAATTCTGCAGTTCTTTATGTGCTTTTAAGGTAAAAGATGAAGAAAAGTGGCCCTGAGGCTGCAGTATGTTTTAATGGTTTTCAGCAGTGAACCCTGTAGACAGTTCCTCTTTGTACAAATAACTTTCATTGTTTACCTGTGCAAGTAGGTGATGAATATTTGGCCATATCATATCTAGCTATGACAGGCTTTTCCAGTAATATGGACTCAAAGATAATGATAATGGAACATCTGACTTGTTCTCAATTTATTATAACTATGTTCACACTGTCAAGACTTTCTGATGTACTTTCTCTGTTGTTCCTATGTACTTGTATTCTTCTGAATAGGTTCTGTTGCACTGCCTTTAAGTAAAATAATTATACAGGTAGAATTGTTCATTTAGTGATGCTTACTTATATGTGTTAATTTTATAAAATGTTTATTTGCAGATCTCTACTCAGGGTTTGTACCCTTTCAGTTACTGTTTTATTTAGTGACTAATTTACTCTTCTGCTTGATGAATTCATCCTAAGGGATTTTTTTCTTGAGTTGCTATAAATCTTGAAGGATGGTATTTCAGGCCTGTTTATACTTAACATTCATTTGAAATCTTATTTTTAATTATTGATTTTAAAAACAATGGTATTGTTATGCATTTACTTGTCATTTTTTAGTTTGGAAATGCTGGACAAAGTAGAGCCACCTACAATCACTGAAGGCTATGCCATGTCAGTGGCATTTCACTGTTTACTGGATCTTGTCCGTGGTATCACTACCATGATTGAAGGAGAGTTGGGAGATGCAGAAACAATCAGTCAAACTGCAGCAGAGACTACATCGTTACCAGCACAGTCATCAGAGCAGCGAGATTCACAGTCTGTATCTGACCAGTCAGAGAAAGAACTAGGTATTTGAAAATTTATTGTTTGTTATTTATATATAAAAACTTGTAATGAAGTGGTTTTGTGTTGTTGGGTTTGTTTGTCATGGAACAGAAGTAGCATATAAAAAACCCCCTTGACTTAATGTTCTGATTCTGTCCTATAACACCTTAGCCATGGACTTGTTATGGTCTGTTAATACTGGTTTATAGGTGGGGAGATGGGATGTGAGAGAAAAATAGCAGGCATTCTGTTCACTAGAACTACTACTCTGCCTTCCTGTGACCTTAATTTTGGTTTAACACCGAGATCCAGGGTCACGAGACAGCCTGACTGACAGAAATGTGGCAGTTCTATGACCACATCAAAAGAAAAATGTATTTCTAGTAACAAGATAAAAAGATGAATGAACATTTTAATGGAGAGATTTTAAGTCAGATTGAAGTATTTAGGGAAGAACTTCTTTAAAAGCAGAACTGATATGAATGGAGGATTCTATTTGTGCAGTATGTGAGGAGTCTGTGTAGGAGTCTGTGCGTGCAGAAAGACTTGTATTGGAGAGTGAGTTTGGTTTGTGCAGCAGGAAGCCGAGGCCGCAGGGCTGAAATTTGAGCGGAGGCATTGGAATTGCGGAGGGAGAGGAGAGGGAAAGGCAGAATCTGTGCCCCTCCGAGTGGGAGCTCTCCGTGGTGCTGCAGCAGCGCCGGCTCTGCCCGGGGCTTGGCACGGCGGGATGGGGAGAGAGCTGTGGGAGTGAATGCTCAGGCAGTTACCCGACTGATAGACCGATGTATTTTGCCCTATTAAATTAAAACAATGAAAAAAATTATGGAGCATTATAAATACCAGGGAATTTCCTTCACTGCGAAGTTTCAGTGAGTTTCTTGTCCCACGTTTTTTCACTTCTGAACATTTATTTTTATAGACAAAGATTAAAAATGGTTATGTATAACTTTGAGTTGGGTTTGGGGTTTTTTTGGTGCCATTTAGAATAAGCAGTGCCTTTGTGGCTTTTTTACTTTAGGAGTGCTACTTGTGATTATTTAAATGGTACTGGTGTGAGGGTGTTTCTGTATACACATATATGTCTCTTTGAACATATATATAAAAACACACTTTAAAAGATGCAGTGGCAAGCATTTTGTTTATGACATAATTTAGACTTATTAAATGAAATATTCTGTTTCTGCTATGAAAAAGTTTATGTATTTCTTTTAAGTTAGCAGAGCCGTCTGGGAAGAAATGGTGAATGCTTGTTGGTGTGGTCTTCTGGCTGCTTTATCACTCCTACTGGATGCAAGGTATCTGGTCTTTCATTTCTCTTAATTTTTCTAAGATGACATTCTAAGTGATATTTTGAACTGACTTTTGATACTGGTCAAGTTGACACTTGTCAGCTTAAGTGCTGTTCATGGCACCTGAGCAGTCAGGTTTCTGGCTTAGACTTGAGTGAATAGATGACACGGAAGTCTCAAAAAGTCTAGCATCAACCTTTAATGTATTTCAATGTAAAACAGTGAATTGCATTTTAAAAGGCTTGCATTTAAACTATTTAAATTATTTTTATTGCTTTTCACTTTGATGGAATGTTTGAACACATTGAAGCGATTCCATGTCCTGATTACTATAGATAAGAGATTAAGTAATGTCTTGGTTCTTGTTAGTACTATGTAATCTTTAAAGTGGAAAAGCTGTTTACTAGGTAATAACTATGGTAAGTTAATTGTCTCTTTCAAAGATCCTTTTGTTATCAAACACCATTTTCTGAAATTAGTTTTAAATTCCTGCTCATAGTCTCCTTTACCAAGTCACTGAGATCTAAAGTTCTGAAGAATTCAGAAGAACTTCAGAAGAAATAGTTCTGAAGAATTTTGTTGATTGGTTATGGTTGCTCTTCAGTATTTGTTGGGAAAGGTGAAGATTCCGTGCGGGGAAGCAAGTGGCCGACTCCGTGTGGGTGATACAGCAAGCTCCAACTTTATTGTCCGACAGGCTCTTTTTTATACAATACAGGACAGGCATACAACTATCAATCATTTAGAATTGGCTAAGCTCTAAAGATAGGATTCAGGTACTCTCCCTGCTTGTAGCCACAGCTGTGTGTCTTATCTCTTATCAGGCTCAGCTGCATTCCTAGCTTTTTTCTCAAACTTGTTTGTCTCACCCTCAAGGACAACTTGCCCCTGCCATCTCATCTGCTGAGTTACTCCCTATCTATATATAAGTTAGTATCTCCAGAGCCTTGCTTGTACACACTGCATTCCCAGGTGTGTTCCCAGGGAACTGTGTCCTTGCTCTTTTTAGCCTTCCCCAGATGCATTCCCAGGATTATGTCCCGCCATTCTCCAACAAGTATTTATAGTGTTGACAGGTTTAAAGTATATATTCTCATGGCTTTTGATTTTGATTAGCTGATTCTGTGCTCTGGATTAATTCTTGCTGAAAAATATGTACTCTTCCAGCACTGATGAACCTGCTACTGAAAATATTCTAAAAGCAGAATTGACCATGGCTGCACTTTGTGGAAGACTGGGTCTTGTAACATCAAGAGATGCCTTTATCACTGCCATTTGCAAAGGGTCCTTGCCTCCCCACTATGCCCTTACTGTATTTAACAGCACAACTGCAGCTTTGTCCAGCAAAGGTAAGTGTAAAAATTTCCCTTAATTGTGTTTCCTTATATTGTCCTCTAATCCCAGATTTTCTCAGGATGTGATTCCAAAGATAGGCAGGTGTAGTATTTGGCTATATGAAAGCATGTTAAAATTCTCAGACAGGATCTAGATCACCTGCTTTCCAGAGCTGGCTAGTCTAGTAGCATCTGTCCTCATAGGAGAGGTGCTCCA